TCCTAATGAAACACCTTCCTTTGACACCGAACTCGTGCCATAGCCATAATACCCAAGCCAAACGAAATGTATCACTGTCTGCACAATACAAATCCTGACATATGCAAACAGGATTAGAGAGGATGGGACACACTGGCAGAGTAGTGAGCCTCGCTGGGCTCTGTGTACCTTATCATTAGCACAGGAGCGAACGCCTCGGCTCAGGGCCACTACACAAAGACAACATCTGATTTGTCGGCGCAATGTTCTCCACTCGTCATTACAAGCTTTACTCCCCGCTGAAATGGCCGTCCCTTCACATCCGCAGACAAGCTGATTGGTTAAAGCTCATGAATGTCTGTGGTCTGTAAAATGCGCTGTATAAATAGAAATTACTTACTTACTTTTGGAAACATAGAAATCAGAAGTAGCTCATTATACACTGAAAAATATATATTAATATAGTTTTTAAGATTGTGACCTCACCTGTATGTGAAAAGCCAGATCCTGTCAGAGGGGCAGAGCTGGGTTAGTACTGTGATGGGGGACCTCTTGGAACACACAGAGGGGACAGTGGGGCGGCTGTAAAGTGCCATACTGTCGCACAATTTTCAAAACAATCATAGAGTTAATGTAACAATCATTCATTGGCAAGTTCTCATTTTTCTCCCACTGAGTTTTCAGAGTTGTTCCTTGCCGATGATCCGGGACACTCAACATTTAAGAACATTGGTCATCTTCCCCTTATGGACCAATGGCTCTACAGTAAAGTGTGTGTTTTTTTCTGTGTTTGAATAGTTTGATTCTCTGATCTGTGTTGGCAAATTTGACGGTTTTGTAATTCCATCCGAGATATCTGCCGTTGTGATTTAGGGCGATACAAAAAAGAAACGCATAGAGTTCAATATGTCTCACCACACGTCTCAATCATTTGAACTTTTATTTACAGTGTGTTCAATCATAAACTCATCCACCTCTGTGTGCAAATCATACCAGTACTTTTACTGGTTTGAATTTTGCAAGTTGCTGAACACGAAATACTCCAGTGCTAAAAGATTAACAACCTCCCAGTCGTCAACGAGCCATGAACAAGATTTCCACCGTGACCTTCCGTCCCCACTCCGCCCCTTCACCCTTGGCACTGCATTTATATCTTCCATAAGGCATAATCCATAATCACACGCCGTCTGGAGGCTCTGCTGTCACTTTGGAGATGGAGCCCTGACAACACATGACGCCGCTGGAGGATCATAGCGCGTCAGACCCCCCCAGGCCGCCATCGCACCTTCTCTGATCCCCTCCCCTCGGTTGCTTATCGACGTGTGGCAGAGAGCTGTTATATCGGGGAAGGTCACCGCTTAGGGGGATAAGGGGCTAACCGCTGCATAGGGCTGGTGCTGGTGTCGTCTCTCGCGGTGTGAAAGAATTTAATGCAGTGTGTTTGATGACACTGTGAGCATGATGTAATTATGGTTCTATTTTCTGGGGTAGAACTTGTCAAAGATTTATAAGGGTTTCGGAAATAGACCTAGAAACAAAGACATCCACATCTGCAAATGTGTTCTCTGTATTTGACCCATTTTTTCAATGCCACAGGGGTAGTATAGAGAAGGTCCTGGGTTTGATTCCACCTCCAGGCTTTTCTGTGTGAAGTTTACATGTTCTCCCCGTGTCTGCATAGGTTTCCCCTGCCACTAGAAACATGTTCAATAGGAGCTCATGGTAGACAGAAAGTCTAGTGTCTACTGTGAATGGAAAATACAGACAATTGGCAAGTGCTTTGTGTGACCTTGATCTTCAAATTGCAACATATAAATTAAGATTAAATATGTGGTCCATATTTGAAGGATTTATTATCCTATTTTATTCATATAATGTTATATTAAACATAAACTAGCAATAGGTAAGATTTTCTTGTCAAGTCATCATTAAATGGCCCGAATCTGTCAAAAGATTTACTGATAACAGAATTAAAAACGGTCTTGTTAAGATTCTCTAACCATTAATGACAAAACGAGGAATAAAACCAGGATGTCTATCTTTGTGAAAAAGGTGTTGGTTATAGATTTGTTGTTGATAAAACTCGATCCCAGTTGTATTCATCTGCATATCTGGCAACCTGAGACAGGGAGAGTAGGAGAGGTTGCAGAAGCACTTTTGGCCAGATTTTTACACACCGCTCCTTTAAGTGATGCAGTGGAAAACCAAGACTTGAATGATTGATTCTTGCCTTTTGGAATAACATGAATTATTCATGTTTATGACTGTGAGCATTCAACTTTTAAGAGTGTACAAGAGTGACATGCTCTGTCTCAATATGGTTTTGGCCCAAATTGTCTGCAATGGATAAAAGCTATATACCCAATACCCAAACACCCAATGTCATCTGTAAAATCAAACAATGTCATCTCTACACCCTTTCAGCTCTTTTGCTTCATGAGACAAGGATGTCCGTTATCCCCAATTTTATTCACTCTTGCACTAGAACCGTTAGCATGTATGATCCAAATGGATAAAGAAATAGAAGGAATAAAAGTGGGAAACCATGAATTCAAATTAAGCATGTACGCAGATGATATCTTATTGACATTGACAAAACCATCACAATCCATCCCTAAAATTCTTCAGAATATAAACACATTTGGTAAATTATCAGGGTACAAGGTTAACTGGAGCAAGAGTGAAGCAATACCTCTAAATTACTTTACATATAAAAAAGACTTATATGTATATATATGTATATACATATACATATATATATGTATATATATGTATATACATATATATATATATATATATATATATATATATATATACATATGTTTATATATATGTGTGTATATAATTTAAAAAAAAAGAGTGTACAAGAGTAAATGTCATGTATTTGCGGGATTTGCGATAAGACTTTGTGTACTGTATGTAAAATGTGATGTCTGCTGTGAGGACTCAACTTCACTGCATGTAACGAGTTGGAACACTTCTATTGATCGAGCTTTCATTAGTTTTGGAAAATTGTTTTACAGCGAGTGCAGCCCAAAACGTGGAGGGCTGTGTTGAGTATCTGGAGAGTGGTGCAGAATAATACTCTCACTGGGTTGATCTGATTTAGCGTACACTCCAATCAAGTTGCTACAGAAACATGCTAATTCAATTTACGGAGTCAAAGCTAGTTGGTTTTGCTGACCACGTAGGGATTGTTGCTAAGAGTTTGCATAAACATGTTAAAATGCCCATGCAGAATTGCATGTATTGGGAAATGCACAAGAGTTCACAAAGCAAACTTGCAATTCAATTTAATGTACTCTTGTATAGCCCTTAATCATAACAGTAGTTGTCTCGGAGTCCTGTCGATTCGCCAACAACAGATCAGAAAATCAAACAATTCAAACACAAGAAATACAATGACAGACAACACATAGAAAGCCATTGGTCCATAAGGTCGCAGACGACCAACGTCCAAAAATGTTGATAAATCTTGTTGAATGTTAAGTGTCCTGGATCATCACCACTGTACTTGTGTTAGACTCAGTGGGGGCGGGTCCCGGCTCAAAAAGGCCGATGAGCATGTGCGCTGACTTGCTTGCGATGTCACTCCAAGCCGACGGGGGTGTACCTGGAAAGAGAATCACCCAATGCTTTTGTATGCCGCTTTCTTTCCTCTCAAAAAACGGCTTTATAGAATGGTCAAAAAGTCAGCTCTTTTGCAGGGCAAATTAGGCAAAAGGAGCTATCAGTGCCCTGAGATACAAGATCAATGTGAAGAAATTAGCATTCTCCCGCTTAGGTTGCCAGTCTCCTTAGTATAATCCAGCTGGTGTTGTCTCAATGAATCCTGAGCAGGTGGACTGTATCAGTGATCAGAGCTGGAAAAATGTGTGTCTCTGTGTGCGTGTGTGTGTGTAACATGTAGGTGAAACACGAAAGGATTGGATTTTAATCGCAATGGCTTTCATGCAGTAACTATAAACTGTGCCTTTGAAGAATATTACAATATTAGAAGAAATTGTTAATCTTACATGTTTAAGTGTTACTTCAAAAGCTTTTAGATACATATAAATCAGTCTGCTAAATAGTATCCATGGTCAGTTTTTCTCAGTTTTGGTTTAAAATTGTTGAGTTGTTGTTCAAATATGGGTTTCAACTTCCAGTTATATTCAACATTGGGAGGATTTATTCCCTGTTGCGAAGATATTATACTTTCTTTCAAATGTTAATTGCAATGGTGATGTTTCTCATTTCCATTCTATTGATAAAAGTGTGCCATAGCTCAGTGGGGTTATCGTAGCAACAGGGTTCAATCACTACGCTCCACACAAAACGTTTTAAGAGATCCTTCGGTCCTTTGGCTGTAATCAGAATCAGGATAATTTTTATTGCCATATAAGTAACAGGGAGTCACAAACTAGGAAATTGCTTTGTCTCTCGGCGCAAACAAGTCAAAAGCACAGAATATAATAAGGCATTATAAAAATCTATACACATTTCTGAATATAAAAATAGAAACATATTACGATTATTACTATAAACAAGTGCACTCCAAATCTGTCAGAGTTGAACATGTGCACACTTGTTAGTTATAATGTGTTAGATCTGTTTCTGCTGCTGGACACCTGAATTTCTCCAACAGGGGATCAATAAAGTATCTATCTATTCACCTATGTGTGTCAAATCGATGTGTGTTTCAGTGCGTGGAGCTGCTCTCTGAAACTGATTATCAGATGATTAAAACAAAAAAATCAAATATGATCCAGTTAAAAACAATAAAAAAATAAGTATTGCAGAGGAACATGGAAGACTTTTGGGACTGTGTTTCTGTGCAGGTGTTTGTGTGTGCGTGTTTGCTTTGAGAGAACGAGGGGGCCCAAAAAGCATTTGCATTGTCCAATCCCTTTTCAAACTGCATTTTTCAAATTGAGTGTCTGTATCTTGTTTGTGTTGTTACAAAATATTAGTTTGAAATAAACACATACTCAGTTGGTCCTGACCTCTCCTCTCTCCTGTGCTTTCAGGTGACCTCTGGGATGGGGTTGTCCAGCGAGGCGGGGGGACACAGCTACCTGGTGTCGTGCTGGCAGCCCATCCTTATCCTGATGCTGGGCACGGTGCTGTCGGGCTCCACCACCGGCTGCCCGTCGCGATGTGACTGCAGCGGCCAGGAACGCTCTGTGGTCTGCAACCGCCGGAGACTGACAGCCCTCCCCGACGGCATCCCTACCGAGATCCGTCTCCTGGATCTCAGCAAGAACCGTCTCCGTGCGCTGGGACCGGAAGAGTTCCTCAACTACCCGGGTCTGGAGGAACTGCAGCTCAACGAGAATGATATTTCCTCCATCGAGCCGGGAGCCTTCAGCAATCTCCTCAACCTTCGAACACTAGGTCTACGCGACAACCAGCTCAAACTTGTGCAACTCGGGGTGTTTACGGGGCTGGTTAACTTGACGCAACTTGACATCAGTGAAAACAAGATAGTCATCCTGTTGGACTACATGTTCCAAGAGCTGTACAACTTAAGGGAGCTGGAGGTGGGGAATGATGATCTGGTTTTTGTCTCGCCGCGCAGCTTTCACGGCCTGGGAAGCCTCGAGAGTTTGGGGATAGAAGGGAGAAGTTTGTCGGCGATACCCACCGACGCCCTGAGCCATCTGCATAACCTTCTTTCACTGCGACTGCGCTTCTTTAACGTCACGCTACTCCGAGATTACTCATTCAAGAGGTTGTACCGTCTGCGCGTGCTGCAGATCTCAGACATGCACGCGTTAGATACCATGACGGCCAAATGTTTGTTTGGCCTCAACCTCACGTCTCTGTCCGTGACAAACTGCAATCTGTCGGTGATCCCGTACGAAGCCATCAGCCACTTGAGGTATCTGCGCTTTCTCAATCTCTCGTTCAACCCCATTCGCAGCGTGGAGGGGCATCACTTGTTCAACCTGCAGAAGCTCCAGGCCTTTCATTTAGCGGGTGGGAAGTTAGCTACTATTGAGCCCTACTCGTTTCGTGGGCTCAACCATCTGCGTGTGCTGAATGTCTCCAGTAACAGCCTGAGGTCTCTGGAGGAGTCAGTGTTCCACTCAGTCGGGAACCTGGAGACATTGGCCCTTTATGACAACCCCCTAGCCTGTGACTGCCGCCTTCTCTGGGTGTTCCGACGCAGGTGGAGGCTAAACTTCAACCGCAATCAGCCCAAATGCTCCTCGCCCAGCGTTGTCCAAGGGAAGGAGTTCAAGGACTTTCCAGATGTGTTGCCGGGAGATTACTTTACATGCCAGAAATCAAAGATTGTGGATTATAACACTCTGGAGAGCCATGTGGATGAGGGCACAACAGTAAACTTTCTTTGTCCGGCAGAAGGGGACCCTGCTCCTACCATTATGTGGCTGTCTCCGAAAAAGGATTTCATCACCACCAAAACAGTGGGCTCCAGGCTGTCTGTGTCAGCGGACGGCACTTTGGAGGTGAGATATGCTCAGATCCAGGACAATGGTACATACACGTGCATCGCTAGCAATGCAGCAGGTAATGACAGTAAAGCTGCACACCTGTTTGTGCACAGCTATTCCCCTAACTGGCCCCATCAGCCCAACAAAACGTTTGCCTTTATCTCCAACCAGCCCAGCGAAGAGGGGGCTAATGTCACCCGCACCTCGCTGCCCTTCCCCTTTGACGCAAAGACTCTGATTATCGCCACCACCATGGGCTTCATCTCCTTCCTGGGTGTGGTGCTATTCTGCCTGGTGGTGCTGTTTCTCTGGAGCAGGGGTAAGGACAGCCCCAAGCCCAGTATAGAGGTGGAGTATGTGCCCAAAGAGGAGAGCGAGGAGGCCAGCCCGAGTGAACCCCCTGTGCAGTTTAACATGAAGATAATGTGAGACATGAGCCAGCACAGCAGAACACTCATGTACTCATGATGAACTACATACAGGCTGAAAAAGAAGGGTTTATTTTTACTTCAGGGACTGAGTATTTACTATGAAGTGTCTCATTTCTTTGATTTGTGTAAATCTGCATTGGTAATGTTGTCTGTCTGTAAACACGCATTCCCCAGTCGACAGCACAGGACTGATCCTGCAGACGGCTTACATTAGTCAGATTCTGAATATTTCAGAGCAGTCTTGGCCTTTTTCTGAGTGGATATTAAAAGCACAACTAAATGAGAAGACAAGAGTAAGAGGCATCCTGCTTAGACCACACCAGGATGGAATGAGAAGGTGGTTTTATAAATTATATTTTCTTTTTGTTATGACTTCAGTTTTATGTGGAAAACAAGACAATGTGTATGTTGTATAATTTATGGAGTGTCAGTTTTGGAGCCAGGGCTTCAGCTGCAGTGTTTGACCTTGGATCAGCTCCTCGTGAGGACAGCTTCTGTTCTTTGTAAAGACTGCTATGAATATTTTCTGTATACTATCTCTGTGTACATTATGCTATGACCTAATGGACATGACCTATCGGCTGTTAGCGGCTCTGGGATGACTCTAACGAGCAGAGATCAATTATTATTATCATTATTCACACGGCCAACAGTGTGCTCTGCTGACAGCCCGCCATTGTAATTCTCTCTACATCGAGTCCATTATGACGTATATTAGAGGGGATTTATTTGCTCAAGTGCTAAGGTTTACAGTCAGTGATCATACTTAAACGTTATTAATTTGTTGCCTTATGTAAGTCATGTGGCCGCATTAGACTGAGCAATGCCCACAATCGTATTTCTATTTCAGTGTCAAACGAGCTTTAAGCCTCATAAGGATTTTTTCTGTTGCCTAATTAATTCCACCGTGAAGTCTGCTCTGATATTACAGCGGTCATTATGTCTCCAGCTTGTTCCAGAGGGGCGGGCAGATGGAAGTTGTATAAAAATAAATGACTTTTTCTACGACTCACTGTGGACCGGGTTATTTCTAGTTTGCCGTTAGAACTTTTGTGTATGTCGGATGCACAAGACAGTTTCTCACGACACTGGACAAACCATACATTAGATTTTCTGTTTTTCACAGTGGTACACTTCAACATGAATGAAAGTTAAATAAGCAAATTACATAAAAGGCTATACTGCATTGTAAAGCTAACAACATCTTAAATATAGAAAGGGCCGGATACTTTTATTGATCCAGCAGCAGCATCACATCCATCCAAACAAACAAATAAATGCATCGGTTTTATATAGTGCTTTTCCGGACAATCAAAGACGCTTCACATGACATTATTCATTCACATACACAGTAGCGATAAACTGCTTGTGGCTCCACCTTCCCTGGGGCACACTGACAAAAGCAAGGCAACCGGTATGTGCCATCGGCCCCTCTCACCACCACCAACCAGTCACACACACCAGACTCATAATAATGTGGGTGAAGTGCAACGGCAGTATGGCTCTTTACAGCCACAGCCGCCCCACTGTGGCACCAAATACAATTACATACTGTATCTGTTTGATATTTATGTGTGATCGTATCATGTCACTAATGTAGCTGGTGGAAAGAAAACATTTGTCATTCAACCAACTTCAGCTCTGTCAAATGTGAATCAATATAGACTCTTTAAATTAAAGTCGTTTTAAAAGTTTTAAAATCAGGGTTGTTGCTGCACAAGTCTGGTGAACTAAAGGACTATGGGTTTGATAGGGAAAGACTATTCAGAAGTGGTAAGTATGTTTCATTCTGACTGAAACAAATGATAATGTTTTAAAACAGCAGAGAATTGTATGAAAGTAACTGATACATGAACAAAAGTATTTGTAATCTGTTCAAAGGAGAAACTGCTGCGATGTCACACATGACTCAATGTTATGGAGGTTGAACTCATAGTTTTGAGAACGTTAAGTCTGATGTGAGAAATGCACCAACTGAGAAAAACTGTTTATTATTTTGTAGCATTTAAGATCAGTTAAATCTCACCAACAATTGATCTTTCCACAAGATGGTAAAGTGGTAATAAAGTGGTTTAGCGTCTTCAGTGGTGGGACAGTAAGATTTAACCTTTCTGTCGTGTTCGGGTCAAATCTGACCGATTTCCTACTTTCAACAATCATACATTTTTTGTTTTATATTTTATTGTTTCAAGGCCTTATGATATCCTCCACACTAGACATTTGAACATGTACAATTGATGATCACCACTTTCGTTGAATTTTGAGTGGGTAAATCAACTTTGTAACACCTGTGGTGTTCCCGGTCAAAAATGACCGCCATAGGAAATGAATGGGTGACTCTAGATCCTTTCATTCACCATAGTATTCACCATAGTTTTCAACACACACACACACACACACACACACACACACACACACACACACACACACACACACACACACACACACACACACACACACACACACACACACACACACACACACACACACACACACACACACACACACACACACACACACACATACTCGCTTAAGTCACTTTGGGGGTCGCAAACCTGCAACCCCTACTTAGGGGACCACCCTTTCTGAAACACATAGAGAGATTCTGGCAGGGCCATTTTGTCAATGTGACTGCTCATATACACAAAATCAACTCAGATTTTCCTTTTTCACAACTTTTGTCCCCTGAGTACAGAACCCTCACAATGGGGACAATGAATTTTAAAGTCACTTTTGAGGACAGCTACTATACACACACCCATAAATGTCATATTTGGGGTCGTAATTATACATAAACCCATAAATGTCATATTTGGGGTCTAAATTATACACGAACCCATAAATGTCATATTTGGGGTCGTTATTATACACAAACCCATAAATGTCATATTTGGGGTCTAAATTATACACAAACCCATAAATATCATATTTGGGGTCGTAATTATACACAAACCCATAAATGTCATATTTGGGGTCTAAATTATACACAAACCCATAAATGTCATATTTGGGGTCATCAATACATACAACAATTGTCTTACATATACCAAAGTGGTCTCCCTCGAAAAGGATTCTTTTGGATCTCAAGTGACTTCCTCATTAAATAAAGGTTAACAGTGATCATGTAACAGATTCAATTAGGACATAAATGCAGATTTCACTTTTGTCAACTTTAATATGTCACAAAACAAAAGCTCAAAGTAGGGTAAAATGGTTCCATGCATACCTCAAGGCTTTGAAGAAATACTGACAAGGAAAATTGTAAACAATTCAATAAAGGGTCAAACATAAACAGTGGTTAGTGCAGTATAAATTTTGGCACTGGTCAACTGGTACTGTGAAAAAATAAACAAATAAATCATCAACAAATATTATCTAGCTTAAGAGAAAAACATTCCTAAATCAAATAATGACCGAAAGAACAACATGGATACAAGCAGTCAAAAAATAAGATCCTCAGGATCTGCAGGTGTGGCTGCAGATTTTAAATCCAATCTGAGCAGGAGCGCAGAAGACCCAGGACACAGTGGGACTATGTGTCTCAGCTGGCCTGGGACCACCCCCGGATTCCCTCAGATTCTTTGTGGAGAGGGATGTCAGGGAATCTCTGCTTAGACTGCTGCCCCCATTAACTGACAATGGAATAAGCAAAAGAAAGATTACTTTCAATGATTGACACTGGTCCAGTGGTTTTGGACATCACGTTAACAATTTTGCGCACCGGGTTCGATACCGACCACAGGCAATAAAATGATATTTTTTTTCTTTTTTAGTCTCCCGCACTAAAGTACACCTGAGACTTTTTAGTGCATTATGAACCAACTCTGACTCTGAGGAGCACAGGGACAGGCCTCTTGCTGATGCCCAGAGTCAGAACTAAACATGGGGAGGCAGTATTTCAGATGTATGCAGCTAAAATATGGAACAGTGTTCCTACAATGTGAGACAGACTGACGATAAAACTTTTGGGGACATGTACACACCCACATTCTGATGTGGTCTGATTGGGGACCATCATTTGCAACTACACTAGATTACACTATTAACATAGACAATATGAGATAAACTTTTGGGACATGTACACACCCACATCATTGGCACTATTGACAATATGAGATAACTTTTGGGACATGTACACACCACATTCTGATGTGGTCTGATTGGGGACTATCATTTGCAACTACACTAGTCAAAGTAATGTTTGACTTTTAGTATTGTGACAACACTACACCAGATAGGAGGGCATTCAAATACACCCCAACATTATAGGGCTTCATGCAATAAATTCAGATCTTACCTCATTCTGAGCACTGGAACCAGTGGACTCACTATTACTGGCAGTAGATATCTGTAGAAGAGAATTGCAATGCCTTGTTAAAGATATGAACTCGTTTGGAACATGTGATCATTGTAAAAGGAGACTCTTACTTGAAGTTTGAGGTTGTCAGGATCACACATTGTGTGTCCAGTCATATCTGTGAGTTGCATCTAAAACATGGTAAAAACAGGATTTGAATTCATCAGCCACAGTAACAGGTATGGAATGGTTACTTCAGCAAGCAACGATGGCCTAGTGGTTTGTACATTGTGCTTACAATTTTGCACACCGGGTTCGATACCGACCACAGGCAATATAATGTTTTTTTTTTCTTTTTTAGTGCATTATGAACCAACTCTGACTCTGAGGAGCACAGGGACAGGCCTCTTGCTGATGCCCAGAGTCAGAACTAAACATGGGGAGGCAGTATTTCAGATGTATGCAGCTAAAATATGGAACAGTGTTCCTACAAATGTGAGACAGGCTGTCGATAAAACTTTTGGGGACATGTACACACCCACATTCTGATGTGGTCTGATTGGGGGACTATCATTTGCAACTACACTAGATTACACTATTAACATAGACAATATGAGATACAACTTTTGGGCACATGTACACACCCACATTCTGATTGTGGTCTGATTGGGGACTATCATTTGCAACTACACTAGTCAAAG